GAACTCTTCACTCTTCCCGATGTAAACGGTAACCTCACACCGCTCGATGCCATGCTCCTCATACTCACGACCCTCATACTCGGGATGATCTTTGACTTTGAGCTTTTGTAGGGTGGCATGCAGGATTTTGGAAAAACCCTCAACGTTCAGGCAGTAACTACTAACCCAGGCTCCTGCCATCTCTAGCGGTGGTTGTAAGGAAGGTTGAGCGAAAAGCTGGCTCAAAAGAAAAGCTAAGCGAGCTAAAGTGCGCCGAGTGGTGATGCCAATGACTAAGTTAGGCTCTGCTTATAAAGGCGGAGCGTTCAGTGGTACTAGCGCGGTTCACCAGGGTTCCCGCGCGAGATCACTACGACGAATCAACCAAATTCCACGCGTTCGAGGCGAGCGACGTGCGATGCCAATACTGACTAGTACGACTTACAGGGCAAGGGTCCGACAAGAGCGTAGAAAAGGGGTACGGGGAGACGTGGGTCACGTTAGGCGTGAAACACGGCGAACGCGGAGCACGAAGCCACAGTGCAGACCTCACTCTAGGACAGGAACGAGTCATTCGTGCACAATACGACACGCATGACACTTATGGATGGCGTATCTACCAGCAATACGACACTATAATGCACAAGCAGGATATGCATGAATGCACGTCCTATACGTCCTTGCACTGTTGCCACATATAGGGCAACCGTTCTCAGATTTTTGGCACATCGTTTTCTTCCTGCAACTAGTCGATACTATCGGACTATGCTCGAGTCAGTGTACCTGTAGAAACTTGATTAACCCTATCTAAGTCAGTAAAGTGCCATCTATCCTGGATACATAACCATAGTAATAGGGCTACTTATATAACTTTGTATACAAACGTCCTAACTTTTTGCAAAAATGGGTTGTCAAATTTTTGTTTAGAAAAGGTTTTCGAAGCCTTATTTCCTCATTTGCGCTCTGATACCACCTATGGCAGAACCGCCTAATCTAATGCCTCGTAGGAGTGCTTGTCTTCCATTAGACACTAAGCACTCAAGGGAGAACACTAAATTACTTAGCTCCGTCGGGCACACCCCAGGGGAGAACCAAAAATCCACATTTTTGCCATCAGGATCACAAATGAGAGAATAAAGCTTACATCATTCTTAACATTTCTTACATCACTTTTAATACAACATCAGAGTATAATTCACATATTTATTATGTTCAAATAAATGATTCACAACTCTGATAATATGATTTCATTCTTCTGTCATAACAATAAATATTATACTCTGATGTTGTATTAAAAGTGATGTAAGAAATGGTTAAGAATGATGTAAGCTTTATTCTCTCATTTGTGATCCTGATGGCAAAAATGTGGATTTTTGGGTTCTCCTCTGGGGTGTGCCCGATGGAGTCGAGTAATTTAGTGTTCTTCCTCGAGTGCTTAGTGTCTAATGAAAGACAAGCACTCCTGTGAGGCATTAGATTAGACGGTTCTGCCACATATGCAAACCTTACTAAACACTAAGCCTAAACCTAGAGCAAGTGCATATGCGGTGGTCTAATCAACCTAAGCACCTATGCTAATCACCTAATGAATCACTAAGCACTATGCAAGTGGAGATCACTAAAATTGTGTATCAACACCCTTGATATGTTTTCTTAGCTCCACTCTACTCAAATGGCCGGTTGAGGGTTGTATTTAAAGCCCCACTGAGAAAGTAGCTGTTGGAGACGAAGTCCCGTTTTTCTGCTACTGACCGGACGCTGAAATCGTCCTGATCGGACACGTCCGGTCGTTCCGACCGTTAGAGCTGCGATCAACTGATCGGACACTGCCAGCGTCCGGTCATATGCCACCGGACGCGTCCGGTCGCAATGTCGACGCTCTGGAACATTTCTGTACTCGATCGGACGCTGCAGTTCTGCGTCCGGTCGATTTGCCGCCAGCGTCCGGTCGCTGCTGCTGACGCCTGTGGCCGAGCCACTTGATCGGAGCGTCCGGTTGCTTTCCTCCAGTGTCTGGTCCAACGTCCGGTCATCTCTGTGAGCTCGTTTCTTCGCGATCTTGCGTACGGCTTGGTTCCTATCTTCGTGCTTGGACTTTGCTTGATATCTTGAGTCTTCTCTTATGCTTCTAAGGTCTTGCTTGTAGTGTTGATCATCGGATCATCACGTCGCCTTCGTCCAAGTCACGTCTTGCACTCTATTAAACTACAAAACAATCACTTGCAAATTCATTAGTCTAATTTGATTGTGTTGATCATCAAACACCAAAATCCAAAGTAAATGGACCAGGATCTATTTTCCTTACACTTTGCGCACAATTCAAACTTGTGAATTTGTTTTTACACGTACACCTTATTCTGTGGTGCAATGCAAGCAATGAAGAACTTTCCCATTCGCGTGCCCTTAAACCCGGCTTGATCTGCTTCTTTTTTCATCTGGAACAGTATTTTCCTCTCACAGATTCCACCAGATTCCTTCGAGCGAACGGGGCGAAGTTCTGAACCTTCTCTGTCAACAAAAGCTGAACATCCCATGAACAAAATTTGTACTCTGTGATATCCTGCTGTTCTTCCAATACTGATCCCTAACTGCTTTTCCAGTTTTTCAGTCCAGTTACATTCACTCGGTTAGCTAGAATCTTTAGCACTTCCAAGTTCCAACCTATTAGGGGCTGTTTAGTTCCCCCCAAAACCTAAAATTTTTTGTGCAGTATCCATCACATTGAATCTTACGGCACATGCATGGAGTACTAAATGTAGACGAAAAAAAACTAATTGCACAGTTGGGTGAGAAATCCCGAGACGAAACTTTCGAATCTAATTAGTCCATAATTAGACACTAATTGCCAAATACAAATGAAAGTGCTACAGTAGCCAAAACCCAGAAATTTTTGGATCTAAACAGGGCCTTACTTGCACCAATTTTATTTCGAGTAACATATCAGTTTTCCAACCTATTACTTTGTGTGAGTTGTCATCATTTCTGAAATGTGGAGCGCTCTATTTCCCCCCTCGGAGGGGCTTGTTTGGTTTTGAGCCAGGCAAGGCACAGGCATTCATCTTAGGCATCCGATTATATAGACACCTGGGGCTGAAATTGATGCCTGGGTCTGGGCCGTAAGTATGTGAACAGAGTTAATTATTTTCTCTTGGAAAGCGAGGAAACAAGGTGAACCAAAAAAAAAAGGATGGCTCTGTGAAATTATTTAAGGTTGAGAGGAAACAGAGCTTTCTTCACAGTTCACGTAGAGGATTAGCCAGATAACCCAGATTACAGACATGAAAACAAAACAAAACAAAAAACTGCATCCCTACGGCCTTACCCAAACAAATTCCAGAATTCCTCGGTGCAATGGAGTTGACAACCAGGAAATCTTTCTGCAGTAACTCTCTCTTCTTCCTCCTCTCTTTTTTTTTTTTGGCAGTCCAATACCTTGACCTATTCGGCTATTCCCATGTGGAGACAGTCAGACGGACAAATTAGCACCTAGGTATAGTAGTATATGCGAATTAGTAGGATCCAAACAGCTAAACTGCGACCAACTCAAATTTGTCTTCAGGCTTACTCGCAAGAGCCTTTCCAGCTTGCTGCGACGTGTAAAGATGATCAGGTAAATACTGAGGAACAACAGAATGCCACTTTCCATACTCAAGCATGTGTTGCAATTTGCAATATTCTGAACAAGATGGCAAGGCACGTACATTTAATTCTGTGAAGAAGAACGTCGCAAACATGATTCACAGGTGAAGAAGCACCGCACACAATCTTACAATTACTAATTGGAGGATCCAATGGAGACACCACGTCAATTCTTAGAAAAAAAAAATCCTAGAAAATCTCACAATAATCAGAAACATCGAGCCTTTAATTTGATAGTCTATAATCATCATCGCTATTCGCTAGTAGTAGCCGTTGGATCAATTATAATTTATAAAAAAAATACCCAACTCTATCGGTATGAAAAATACATAAAGTAACTCCCTAAATTTATATTTAAACTACCCACCTATGCCATTATGAAATATAATTCAAAATAGCTCCCTAAATTTGTACATAAATTACACACATATGAAATTAAGAAAAATAATTAAAAATAACTCCCTATATTTGCATATAAATTCCTCACATTTTCTATTATTAATAATAATTCAAAATAACCTCGTAACATTGCATCTAAATTACTCATAGTTTTCATTATGAAGATAATTCAAAATGACGTTCTAACTCTGTATCTAAACTATCCACAATTACCATTATGGATGATAATTTAAGAAAAATAAAAAAATTTAAAAGGGAGAGAAAGAAAACTAATAATAAAATATATTTTTTGAGAAACACTAATAATAAAATATTTCCAAAGAAATGTGTGAAAAGAAAAACGGTCAAGAAGAAGGCCCGTGCGGGGGCCCTCGCGGCGTGCCTGCGTCCCCTCATTCATATGGGCCCTCATATCACCGTTTCGTGCAGTTTTCCTTGCGCGGGCTTCCTTCCCGCTCGCGACAGAAAACTGCGCGCGCCGCCGCTTGCTCCGCCCGCACGGTCTCCCCGTCGACGCGCCGCCCGCATCCCCGGCCAGGAGTCCCCCGCATCCCTGCTCGCGCGCCCATCCCCGTCCTCTCGCCAGCAGGAAGGAGACCGGCGCCGCCCGGATACGCCGGAAGAGACCGGCGCTGCCCGGTTCTTTCCCCTCCCCGGCTCCTTCCCTTTCCCCGCATTCCTGCTTGCGAGCGGCTTCCCCTCCCCGTCCACTCGCCAGAAGGAAGGGACCGGTACCGCCTGGATCTGCCGGAAGAGACCGGCGCCGCCTGGCTCTTTCCCCTGCCCCGCATCCTTCGCCTCCCCCGCATCCCTGCTCGCGAGCGCCCCCCCGCCCCCATCCCAGGTGCTGAGGCTTTCGTTGGTCTCTTCGCCGGCGACGATCACCCACCAGGTACTCCCACCCCTTCCCTTCCTTTCATGCTGTGCCAGGCTGAGAACACCCATGTCCCTTTACTGGATCCGCCCCTGGTCCGCAGGCAGCCATGGACGTCAACGAGGAGGCAATGGCGGCACACAAGCGCGCCTTCCTCGACTTCCTCGACCAAGACGTAAGTCCCCTCGCCGTCCGTAGCGCCGCTGCCGCCGCTGGTTCGCTGGGTTATCGGCTAACGCTCTTGCCTCCCACCGCAGGTCGGGAAGGGGGTTTACATGCAGACCGTCCGCGACATGGTCCAGAACAAGCGCCACCGCCTCATCATCGGCATGGACGACCTCCGCAATCACAACCTCGATCTCGCCCGCAGGTGCCCCGCCGCTGCCTTTCCCTCGCTTTCTCGTTGCGTCTCTGTTGTTCTGTCGGGCAAGTTCCTGCCTTCCTGGCTGATGCGGTCTGCCCTTGCGTCTGAATAGGGTGATTCGGAGCCCCGGGGAGTATATGCAGCCGGCGTCTGACGCGGTGTCGGAGGTGGCCAAGAACCTGGACCCCAAGTTTTTGAAGGAAGGGGAGCGCGTGATGGTGGGCTTCTCGGGGCCGTTCGGGTTCCACAGGGTCACGCCCAGGGATCTCATGTCCTCCTTCATCGGCACCATGGTCTGTGTTGAGGGCATCGTCACTAAATGTAATGTCTCAATTCTCCCTTTCATTAGATGAACCACATTGTTGTTACGCTCTGGTTCCAGTCATACTGCTTGTTGGGTGCATTTTGTTTACATGGTACCAGATTGTGTTGTCAGTATCTTTTGAATAAGCTCCAATTAAAGTATTAAACTGTAGCATTCTTCTTGCTGGTGGATAGAAGTTCTGTGGTAGTTCAACTGGTACCTTTGTGGTAAAGGGAAACTGCAAAATAGAATGGGTAAAATTGTCCTTGTTAGCTGTGTCAGTATAAACTGAACATGAATGATGTCAGAATGCCTGAGCTACACGAATTTGTAATGAAACTTTAGTATTGACTTCTGTTAATTCATCACTTATGCTGTGCATATAGCATACTAATCTGATGCTAACTACTTGGTCTATCAATCCGTACCAGCAATTTACTAATACAAAGCATAGATAGACACTAGATTTCTAGTGAAGTACCTATACACCTTTGACTTTGAGTGCTAATATTATTTTTCCTCGTGAAAAAAACAGGCTCATTGGTAAGGCTGAAAGTTGTTAAGAGTGTTTACTTCTGCCCTGTGACCGTTGCTTTTCTGTCACGTGAATACAGGGACATCACTTCTTTTGTAGGCTTGCCGACTGGCTCTGTTTATCCAACAAGGGTATGCTCCTACTATTTGCTCTTTGCAATTTCATTCATTCATTCAATCAACCCCTTTGGTACTGTAGTTGTAATGCTTCTCAATCTGGAATGCCTAGGATGACAATGGTAACTTGTTGGTCACTGAGTATGGGATGTGTGAATACAAGGATCACCAGACATTGTCCATGCAAGAAGTGCCTGAAAATTCTGCACCTGGACAGCTCCCAAGAACTGTCGATGTTATTGTAGAAGATGATCTTGTGGATTGTTGCAAACCCGGCGACCGTGTCTCAATTGTTGGTGTATACAAGGCTCTACCAGGGAAAAGCAAGGGTAGTGTTAGTGGCGTGTTCAGGTTAGTTCAGCTATGACCTTCACCAAAGCTCGCTTCAATTTACCTTTTTCTGAAGTATAATGTGGTTTTGTATTACTGTCTGTAGAACTGTCCTTATTGCAAATAATGTGTCACTTCTTAACAAAGAGGCAAATGCACCTGTCTATACTCGGGAAGATCTGAAGCGGATGAAAGAAATATCAAGGAGAAATGACACCTTCAACTTGCTGGGAAACTCACTTGCTCCATCCATATATGGTCATCTATGGATAAAGAAGGCAGTAGTACTATTGATGCTTGGTGACGTTGAGAAGAATCTAAAAAATGGAACTCACTTGAGAGGGTAAGTGATGTTTCAGATCATTACTGACACATGATTTCATTGATTGTGCTTTATTTATATTTATATTTTGGCATACAGAGATATAAACATGATGATGGTGGGAGATCCTTCAGTTGCCAAGTCCCAGCTCCTAAGAGCTGTCATGAACATTGCCCCTTTGGCTATCTCAACAACTGGCAGGGGTTCATCTGGTGTTGGTTTGACTGCTGCCGTGACTTCTGATCAAGAGACTGGTAATGATGCAACTCTAATTAGCGCATTGGTATTCATATTCCAGTAAAAGCCACATGACAAATTTGTGTTCAGGGGAAAGAAGGCTTGAAGCTGGTGCCATGGTTCTTGCTGATCGTGGTGCGGTGGTGTTGTCTGCATTGATGAGTTTGATAAAATGAATGATCAAGACCGAGTTGCTATTCATGAAGTTATGGAACAGCAAACTGTAACCATTGCAAAGGCAGGAATACATGCCTCGTTAAATGCGAGATGTAGTGTAATTGCTGCAGCAAATCCAGTATATGGAACCGTATGCTCTTAGCATTTCTTTCCCTTGCTCTATAAGTGTGTTCCACTTGATTGTTTGCTGTTTCTGACAATAATTTCTGGCCTTATGACAGTATGATCGTTCATTGACGCCAACAAAGAATATTGGGCTTCCGGATTCACTGCTCTCCCGTTTTGATTTACTTTTTATTGTTCTTGATCAAATGGATCCTGAGATTGATTGGCAAATTTCAGAACATGTTGCACGAATGCATAGATATTGCACTGATGATGGAGGTAGCTTTGCTGTGTTACAGTCCAATATATTTGTTTTCAGTTCTTCCATTCTTTCATTTGCTTAATAAAACACAACCTCATAAACTGTAGGAGCAAGGTCTCTTGATAAAGAGGGATATGCTGAAGAATATGATGGTGATGCTAATGCAGCCATTTTTGTTAAGTATGATAGAATGCTCCATGGTCAGGATAGAAGAAGAGGCAAGAAAGCCAAGCAAGACAGGCTAACTGTCAAATTTCTGAAGTAATATATTCATTATGCGAAGAACCTTATTCAACCGAAGCTTACTGATGAGGTAACCTTTTCCAATCCTGGATACAGAGCCATTCAAAGTTGGCGGAGATATTATTCTTTTGCACTGATCAGAGTGAAAGTACCAGATATAGCACATTTGTACATGCAAGCTTTCCAATTTCAACGGAAAATGGTAAATGGCTAAAAATGGGAACCAGTAAAAATTTGTGGCTAGAGCTAGTAAAATTGGGAACCAGGAAAATGGTAAATGGCTGGGAACATGATGCTAGAGCCGCTTTGGACACAATTTGTGGCGGCTTCAAAACGACTCTGGCTCCTCTGCGTTTTATTAAAAAAACGGCTCCTCCAGAAAAACGTCTGGCAGGGCTCCTCCGCAGGAGCTGGAGCCGGGAGGAGCCCTGCCAAATAGGCTCTTAATATTAGAAAGAAAAACAGAAGCTGGCTTCAAATCAATCTGCGGTAGTTAAAAAGAAAAGACATTTTTTTCTCTGGACAGCGGAACTCATGCGTCTTCAATACTCTCTTCATACCGGAAGTGCACGTCTCACACTTTGAAAAGTTAAACAATATTCTCTGACCAAACATATACAAAAAAGTACTAAGCTTTATAATACAAAATGCACATCATTAGATTAATCATGCTATTTTTTATACTAAATGAAGATGTAAATGTTAATACTATTTTCTACAAATCTAATCAAACCTGAAATTGGTTGACTACTCGAAGTGCGAGACGTGCATTTATTTTGGAGTAGTTCCCAAAATAATAATCGGTAAATCAATGAGTTTTCCAAGTAGCTAAAAATTATTGGGAGCATATTTGTTGGGTTGCTCTAATGATTTCTACAATCTGCCTCGTAAAATATAGAAGACAATTTGACATCACCAATCCCAAACTATTTATTAATGACTTCAACCACTTTTATAGTTTCTTTCTCTCGTACATTTGCATTGGGAACCATATCCTACATCTTATTCTTCCCACATTCTTCCACCTTTGGATTGGCGGATCGATGCACGCGCGAAAATATTCGCACCATGGGATTGTTTTTCCCAAGTGTGGAAAGATTGGAAGTTGAAATAGGGAGTTGTTGGAAAGCAGATTTTTTAATCTTGCTAAAAATCTAGATTGGGAGTGGGTTTTGGAAACTCTTGGAGATGATTTTATTGTTCAGCCTTCCATAATTCATATGAAATTATTTGAGTCTCATATAGACTTATTTTGGTGTTTATTTGCTATTTGGATTTGAGTGGGGAGTAAAAATAACTGGTTTTAACAACAGTTGAAAGAGGAATAATATATTGTAGGAAGGAAAATTTAAGTGCAACTATAGTTGAGGAATATAGTAAATAGGATTCTTTTTCTCATGCCATAAATATACGAGGGCTAACTGGCTAAGCTGAATTTGAAAGGGCAGGCGGGCTGTGGCTCGTTAGCCAGGCGTAGCCAAGGCCCAGCAGAAACAGCCCATGAAGCTCTGGGGCATGGATTCACTTTAGATTTTGATGCATACTTTTCCAGTTTTAATTAATTTCTTTTCCAGTTTTTTTATTACTTTTCCGGTTTATTAATTAATTCCTTTTTGCTCAGAATCATTGTGATTCGTTTCCAAGTGTTGGTGAAATTGGCATCAAATAGTTGGACCAGGGCACCAGGTCATACGTGGATTCGAGACCAGTCAGCACTCGAGGTTCTCTCACAGTCACAGCATAAGCCAAGGCAAGGGAAGTATCAGAATCACTGAGGTACCTGTAGCTTTTTAAAGTTTCCGGCGTCGCAAGCCATGCGTTGCCTGTACACACGGTTTAGCACCTGACAAAGTGACAGGGACAAAGCGGCAGAGGCAGCAACACTCTCATTCCAGAACGGCAGAACCTCCGAAAGTTCATTTGAGCTTTCTCAACAAAAAAGAAAGAAAGAACTCCAGAAGAAAGCGGTTACTCACTTTGTTCGAAATTACAACTGCCTTTATTTAATATTATCTTAAGAGGTAATATTTACTAAAAACATACAAACATCAATAACATTAAACTATCGGTAATGCTAGCAAGCGGACGTCTATCCGCTCCGGACGCTCCATTGGTAGGCTGACGACGCTAGCCTAACTACCCTTTCCTAATCCGGCTCTCGGGAGTTTCTCAAAAAAAAAAAAAAGAATCGGTCTTCCTACCTCGCGGCCCTCTTCCTTCCCCACCACGCCGCACCTCACGCGTAGCATCGTTGCCCATAGCCCCGCTGGCCACCAGCGTAGCCGTTCCCCACCTCCTCGCTGCTTCGACCCGGCATCGCACCGTCCTCCCCGCCCACCTGTCGCGCCGCCCACGCTTGCTCCCCTGTGCCCTGGACCGTCGGCTCCTTAAACTTGGGGTGGGGGCGAGGACCGCCGGCAGCCCTTCTTGCGAGATCTGTCCGTCGCCTCCTTGAACTCGATGTGGGCTCCATCTTCTCCGCTCATCGCCCGGGCCGCTGTCTCCGGTGAACTCCACATGCCGACGAGCCTTCCATTCTCCCAAGCAACAAGGAGATGTTGTGCTAAAAGTGCATGTTGCAAGCGTATGTTTCAAGTGTTTCAGATGTTTGCAGGGTTATGTTGCAAGTGTTTTATACGGATGTTGCAAAAGTGGATCATTATGTTGCAATTATTGTACACGTATGTTGCAAGCTTATGTTCTCAATGTTTCATCTGTTTTTTTCCGGATGTATGTTGCAAGTGTGTTTATTTGGATGTTGTATATGTTTCACACATATGTTGCTAATGTTTTATTTGGATATTGTGTATGTTTTACAATGGTTTACAAGTGTTTTTCATGTGTTTTCGCAATTGTTTCACATGTATGTTTCAAGTGTTTTCATCTGTCTTCGGGCGTATGAAGTGTTGTATCTGAATGTTTCAAAAGTAGATCGAGTGTTGCATCTCCCTCCTCGCTTTTCTGCTGTCTCGTCTCGATGTCTCCTCCTCCTCCTCCCGGTGACAGGTAGCATCTGCCGCCTCCTCCCCTCTTCTCGATGCTGATGACGTTTGGGGCGTCGTGGGTCTCACGTGGGCGTGGGAAACGGTTACAGACGCGGCGTCCAAATGTTAAAATTAAACAAGTTTGAATTAGACCATAAGTCAAAATAAATTAACTGAAACGAAGGTATTACTTGTTGCTGTATTTGCCATGGCAGCGAGCAGAGCCAGCCAACAGACGGAGGAGTTAGCCCGTCATGGCTACAAAACGCCAGGGGATAGACACGGACGCATGCTCCGGGCTCCGTTCCCTTCCAAGCGTCGAGTGACCGACCGCGCGCGGCAGAAGCAGAAGCAGCCGCCCGGGCCGCAGGTACGCCGCCATCAATCATCATCATCATGGTCCCTTGTCGCCCCCTGTGGCCACCGCAACGTGCCATGGACAAAGAGGGCAGGCCGCTGGCAGCAAGCTGCGTGATGGAAAAGTTCCTCCAGACCGCAAAGATAATCAATCAATCTAGTAGGATTAATTATTAGCCTCCAAAGCCTCGTCCCAGAATACTGGTATTAGGGTGTAGTAGAGTGGGCTAGGATCGCCTTTGCCCAACTACTGGATATAGGGAAGGCCCAGAAGTGGTGTGGTGTCCAGAGTGCTCCGGACATGTCATGATACGCGTCATCACTTGCTCCGGAAAGAAGAAAAAAAGAAAGAGAGGCCTATCGATGGATCCAGCCGAGATGCGTAGGCTGATGCCGAAACTTCCGTGGAACAAATGGATTCCACACCCCACACCGATCGCCGCCGAGACGATTGGTTTTGAGTTTTGACAGCCAGCAATGTGTGGACCTGACCAGAGCTTTCGTAAATCCCCTGCTCGATCGGCTAGCTGGCCCCATCCAGCCATCCTCATCCTGCCTGTTGTGCTGGGCGGCCTAGGCTCCTCCACATCAAAGTTGAAAGTGGTAGTGCCGGCGACGCGCTGTCAGTGTCAGCTCGCTCGCTCGCAGCCGTGGAAAGAGGAAGCAGCCGGGATGGGTCCCTGCAGAGCGGAGAGGCTCCTACCTGTGTTGTGTGGTGTGGGCACGGAGGTGAGGGGAGGGCTGGGTGGGCCGCTCTGCCGCCAACGAATCATCACGCCACTAGCAGTACTCCTCCTACCTGTGTTGTGTGGTGTGTCCTCTGTCCTCTCTAGCTAGTCGGATTTGTCCTCGGAGAGGGATGGGATGGGCATGGCCCTCTCCTCTCGTCCTCTGGCCCTCTTCCTCCATGAATCATCATAGCACAAAAGGACAGCCGCAGTCGAGGTCATGGACTCGTACTCCCTCCATACCCGTATTAGCTGTCGTTCTGGGCACTAAGCCCATTTTCACAAAGCCTGTCGTCGCTCGCCCGTGCAGTGCCTTATGGACGCGAATGCCCCTCCCATCGCCGCCCGTTGCGCTCGCCAACTACTCGCAATTAATCGCGCGTCGCCTCGGTTCGCTGCGTCGCCGCCCGTCGGCTCTCGCGTCAAGGCAGACCACACACGCTCGCCTCCCTTTATCTCGTCAGCGCGCTCGCGTCCCTCGCCACCCGAAGGAAGCTCGCGCCATGGAGGAAGCTCGCGCCAAGGAGATCGGTCGCGCCATGGAGGAGCCTCGCGCCATGGTGGTCGCTCGCACCATGGAGGAGTCCGGCGCCATGAAGGTCACTCGCGCCATGGAGGAGACGCTGGACGCGGAGGTCGCGCCGGACTCGGAGATGACGATTGCCTCTGAGATGGCGCTGGACTCGGACTCCCTCAAGATCGACCCGGACGACGTCGAGATGGTGCCGGACTCCCTCGAGATCGCCCTGTTCGACGTCGAGGTGGTGCCGGACTCCCTCGACATCGCGCCGGACGCCGTCGAGGTGCAGTGCGCTCGCTGCGGCATGTTCCACGGTGGCAGCGTCTTCGGAGAAGCCTGCTTCCAAGCTCGCCGCGAAGCTCGCAGGTGTGCACGTTGCCGTCTTGTTCATGATGACTACGATCTCACTACTTGGATACTACATGGCATAGAC